TGTGCCGGGTAGAATCCTCCGCCAGGCCGGTTGGCCTCACGCAGCTCCTCCGGCAGAAGATGGTCGAACTCTGTGTAAAGCATCCTGATGATCTCGCCACTCTCGTTGTTCACGATCGTTTCCTTCCTCTTATCCCAAAGCATCGGAACGGTATAGCGTCCTTCATAGTCCGGCTGCGCCTTGAAATAGAATTGGCTCAATTTTGTGAACCCATACAAGGGATCTTTTTCTGCGGATCCCCATCGGCCAGAGAAGAACCAACCTTCGGGGCCCAGCTCAGGGTCCAGAACGACGAGCTGGATGATGTCCTCTAGGCCCTTGAGAGATCGAACCAGGTTGGTCCGGTGCGCCCACGGACATCCGTAGTTCAAGTATAGAACATAACGTTCCCTTTCAGCAGGGAATTCTGCATCAGGATCTGATGATACGGCCGAGCGGAAGGCGGAATCCTTGCGTCGGAAGTGACCATCTGCATCAGCATGGCGATGCACTTGGGATCCCTGTCACAGCTTAGCTATCCCGTGTTCTAGACAGACTCATCAAAGACGATCTATACCTGTTCCGCCATATTGCTAACAACTGAATCGGTTCAAAGCCGACAAGGTAATTGATATGTCAAGTAGCACTGGAAGATGAGCGCACTGCTTACAGTATTACCGTCCGAACTTTCAGTCAGCTTCTGTTTATACATATCCTGAGGTGTGGGCGCTGACAAATCGCCACGATGATGACATCTTATGATGCGGGGCAGAGCTTGGAGAATTTAACCGAAGACTAATTTATCGTCATTCCTAAAGCAAGCGTGTAGGGGGATATGCTAATGCCTGGATATAATGACAGGAAAGACTGCATCAGTAGAAAGAATACCCTGGACAATATTTCGGGTGGTGCAGATGACATTGCACCACTTTGTGCTCGGCAAATGGCGTGCAAAGCCAGCGCCTGGACCCATTCCACCCCCAAGAATTCAATCCTACAGCCTCGTTTCCTTTTGAACACCAAGTTGCTCAGCCACTCCAATCAGGCCGCTGTAGCCATGCTCGAGCCACAAATCGACAAAACCCTCCTGTTTGGATTCGGCAATTTGTTCAGCGGTGAAGGTTTCCTCCTGGGGCCGTTCGACGTAGATCGTCATGAAGCCTGCTTTCTTTGCTGCTTTGAGATCGTACAAATGCGCTGCTACCATACCACACTCACTGGGATCCAAGCCGAACCGCTTGGCTGCTCCATGATACGCTTGAAGGGCGGGCTTATAGGCTCCGAAGTGCTCAGCGCTGGCCACGTTCTTAAAGGGCAATGACCCATGTCTCAAAAGATCTTCTAGAAGGGACACATTGCCGTTCGACAACGTACAAGTCTGGAAGCGACGGTTCAACAGCCTGATGCCTTCGACCGAGTCTGACCAAGGCTCGAGGCGATGCCAACAAAGTGCAAGGTCCCACCGCTCTTCATCAGAGAGAATGTCGTGGAGACCGTACTGGTGGAGCAACTGCTGAATGGAACTATAATGATGTTCATCGACCGATACGAACGTCGATGATGGCTGAAAGTCCTTCGTAAACCGGCCATAGGACGCGCGCCATTCTTCCGCAATGGCCTGCCAGTCCTCGGGGCTCATTGCCTGTACCCGTGCGCGGACGTCCGCTGGAAGCTGCTTTCCAGGATCGAGCAGAGCATGCTCAGCCGCTTTCATCAGGGCCCGAGTAACGCAGGAGCGCCATTCCACGACAGTGCCGAAGATGTCAAAGAATAGTACTTTTGGAAGTGGGCTGATCGACATGATGGAATGTATGATTTGACTCGTGTGGCGTACCTATCTACCTGATGTAAGGTTCGGGTGTCACTGTCCGTGTTCCGTATTGCACAACGCCGCTGAAGGTGCCTGTCTGTCGGGACGTAATTTTAGAGCTTTGAATCTTGGCGAAAGTGTGTACGGGGTACGGAGGAGATGCGTTCTATAGCGGTACTTCGCGGATCTGTAAGGTATGCACGCTGCGGTGTAGCAGAGAGGATGTCCGAAGGCGCCGAGCGAGCTAAAGCATCAACAACACTTCCTACTGATGATTCCACGGCTCTAGTTGTTTGTCTAACCTATCTAGATATATGAATCCCACAATCCTTGGGGAATAAAATAGAAGAAATTAGCGACGATGAAGTCATGAGGGGAAAGAATGGCGAAGGAGAAGAAAGTGTGTCCCGGCAGAAACATCAGCCAAGAGTTCTGGCGATGCAAAGCATGCAAAACGATCGACTCTCCCTCTCTCATTCTCTCTCATTCTCTCTCCCATAGACTAACCCCCTCCTTTCTCAGCTCTCTACCCCCTCCTCTCTGTGCCGTGTTCGAAAAGTGACGAGACTTTCATTCTATTTGCTGTTCAGAGTTCGGATTAGACTCCCGACTGGCTGCTCTAACACGATTGTACAGAGACGGGAGAGGCAAAGAAAGTATTAAATGAGGTCCCCCCAACCCCACAAGCTGCGGTGATCCCTGGATCTATCACATTATCACCATCTATCGCTGCTTCAGGTTAATAGACAGGAAAGTACGGGGTTACGTCTCACTGGAGGTCCGCGCATCGCTGGCCCTGCATTGAACGTTCACCGTTGGCTGACCAGGGCATCTTTTAGTTATCCTTTCCTGGATAATGACAGCTGCAGCCCGATGATCCTTCAAACGGCGTGATCTTGGTCTGTCTAAGACCGGAGTAGCGACTCTCGTCGACTGTGCCAAGGAGGTCTCTTCGGTCTCCTAGTCTAGCCAGGAAGACGCTATCTATGTGATCGCCTCTTTCGGGATGCGTTGTTAGTACTATGATAGTTGATCCTGGTGCTCTCTGGAGCGACGCGACAACATCCGAGACACCAGCCGGACCAGTCCAGACCAACCGCGGATGTTCTCCGGCGAGGTATTAACGAGTCACTACTGGATATTAGGAGATTAACACTAGTATTATAGTTATTATTGTATACAACGATTTAATATGGAATGTCTAAGTATGATCCCTGTCTACTTCACACTGCAGCCTGCACAGCCGTTCAGGTAACGCACGGCCGACCTGTCAGGTCCGGTTTACCCCTGAGACGAAGGCCGGAAGGCGCAAATTCCAGTCCGTCTTGCCGCGTGGGTCGCCAAGCTTGAAGCCGGCGCAGACTACAGCCGATTAGACTGCAAGCCAATTGGCTTTGGTACGTAACTGCTCACGTTCTCTTAATTGAGCCAGGGACGAATGTCGGATGCTGATTTGACTGAGCAATACCGGATTGATAACTAGATAGATACTAGCTGGCGACAAGTCCTTTTTGCTCCATTCCTTTACGATCTAACGCACATCATCGCCTTGCGTCACACGGACCGCGCGCGAAAGGTGATCGCAGACGGCAAACATCGATGGTCGCCAAGCCATTAAATGAATTCGATATGAATACATATCCACCCCAGAGGTCCGTGATGATTTGGTGATAGGAAAGGCGATTTTACTATAGATCCCGTCCGTTGACGCAGAAGTGATCACGAGGAGACGTTTTCCCTCGCAGGCTGCCAACAGCAAGGAAGTCTGCAAAGGGTCATTCAGTCTCCCCGCCTCCCTGGTATGTAATTTCCGGACTGGAGACACTACCCAAAAGTTGAGCGCCGGGCCGTCTCCCAAGGTGGTCCTGAACCAGGGAACAGGGGAAATGATAAGTGGGGAGCTAAGCTGAACGGAAGCACCCAAGGATCCTTCCCGACTGTTCCTCTCGTGCACCCCTTCTGGTTTGTGTTGGGCTCGGGAATCAACGAGCACAGGTAGTGTTGTATGGAGCACAAAGCGCGGAAATTAAACGCCTCCCATGTGATTGTATGTCAGATGCTGTACTAGGTGCCCTTGACAACTGAACCACCAACTTCCGGGACGACCAACTTGATGAAGGAACTCCGAGTCTACTCCGGGTCTGAAAGCAGATCGGGGGTAACAAGCGCTCCATCAGGACGTGACGGGATGGTTTTCCTAAATATAAGTTGCGCAGCTTTTTCTGGGGCTGGTGAAAGGATTCTGAAACATGAAGCACGGGCTTGTTGGAAAATCCATTGGTGGCTTTGAACAAGATGTTCTGAAGCCTCCCGCTCGCCATTCAATCATACGATTGGGGAGATGCAAACTTTCTTCGACGGCTAGTACACCCATCGTCGCGTCGGCTGGAGTCAGTCCCTGCAGGCTGGCCTCACTTATCCTAGTGACTATTCAACATCCACTGTCAAGACGCTCGCCCGGTATGACCGATAAATGGCAACGAGGCTACCAATATATCTTGGCCATCGGAGAGAAGTCATATTTAAGGCAATCTCACCAACCAGCAGGCGCAGAATCGAAATCGAGGAGAGGCGACGATCCCATTGAGTCCACCGGTGGACCCGACTAGTGACTGACACGAACTGCCGTCAAGTTCAAGTACTACGGTTTTTAACGACCTTCGCCCGGCAGTCTTTGTGCCGGCCGTGTTTTTTGGTCGACTTCGGTCGCGTTTTAGTCCACCTTAGCTTGCTCTTGTAAGTTTTTGCTTTTTTATTCAATTGGCTTATCTTTCTACTAATGCCAATTTTATTTTTGTTGAATTATTTTTCCTTTTTCCATTTTTCCCTTCCTACTTTCGTGCTGTGATTCCCTTGCCCCCTCCCATCGGATACACTTTCATCGGATTCGCACAAGAAAGTACAAAGTACACAGGGACGATCTTCAGCGTACCATCCTCCTTTTGATTATATTGATTAGTTTTATTATATTTTTTTTTTCTTTGCCCCCCTCGCTTTTGCTTTCGCGTTTGCCATCCCCTGTTCCCGCGGTGTGCTAGGATCAATGCATGTCGCCTTGTTTCAGATTCGACTCGAGTCCCTTTTCCTTCTGTAGACAGGTATCACTGCCTCTTGTTATTTTTATTACATATTATTAATTCCTGCCCGGCTGCTTTTATTCATTGGCTATGCTTTTCCACCGACGAGGGTTTGGTTGTTACCAGTCCGCCGGTCACCAGCCATTCATCTGCAATGGCGGCGGCCGATCCGTCGCACTGTCGGACACATCCTCTATCACTTGCCTATTGGATCGGGATCCTCGAGCCCAGCTGTGGCAAGCTCTAGTGGAGCCGCTCGGTGGTTTCTCTCCTCACTAGTCATTGGGTGCGTGGAGTTGGCCTTCGGTTCCCCATCTTCCCCCTAACGAACACCCCTGGACGAAGCTAATGCGCTAGTTTGCTCTGGTTCTGGCAGACAATAACTCCGCTGTCGAATGGACCTTTATCACTCATTTACTGGGCTAGCTGTCCCCCGCCCGATGTATGGGTCATGGACAAGGTTCTTTCGTGCAAGGCCCAGTTTAGCTCTTGAGCCGGTGTACTCCAAATCACTAGAGGGTGGCCTGGCAAACAATCTCCCCTTTCCCCTCAGATCCTTTGTCTAGACTTCCGCGGCCTCTGGCAGGTAATAAAACTAAATATTTTGGGATCCGATTTCGCGACGCTGCTGCTTTCTTGATCGCCCTCCGATCCTGTTTCCCTCCATACATCCTGCCCCCCTCCTCCCCATCCCCGCGTCAAGAGAGAGACCTTGACTCAGTTCATACTTTGCTCCCCCTCACTGGCCTCTCTTCCCTAGCACACTCATTTGCATTGACGCGCCTGCAGCCTGTGCATTGTGAAGGTGGCAAGCCTTGAACTCTGATTCGATCGCAGGTAAGTACCATCCTTGTTTCTGCATGCCTTATCTGGTCTCCAGCCCTACTTCCAACCGCGTTCCTTGGCGCTCGAAGCAGACACCATGTGCTGATCAGGTCTACCCTTTTGCGCCAGAAAGACTAGTAGCCACGACGCTTCAATAGATTTTGACGGGCGAACGGCTGGCACATTCAGACCTCGGCCAGTCGAGCTGGTCCTTGCTGGGACGTCGAGGATCACAGCATATGTAAAGCTCATGGAAAGCGCATGACGCGGTACTACAATATTTGGTTGCTCAGTTGCAATTGAGGGGATGCGTTGAGCTGTCGAACATCCACCGACCTTGGGCATACACACACAATGGCCACTGAGACCGTCTACTCAAGCCCTGCGGCGAGGGCCTTCCCGACGCCGTCTGCAACACCGCAAAGACCTCCTTCGATACACATTCGGGCAGATTCCTCCCCCGGCCTGTCGTCTTCGCCTAATTCCCTACCGATCCTGAATTTCTCGCCCGATGCCCGCAGTGACTATGAGGATACTGCTGACGAGGACAACTTGTCGCCACTAGATCCACGGCGCTTCACACCTACACTACATGCCTCACTTGTTTCCGAAATTCTTTCTCTGCGGCGAGACGTGGAGGGTAAAGCAAAGGCAATTGATATACTCGAACGGACTCTAGACGAATCACGAACGGAGAACGAAGGTCTCACTGAACGTCTATCCAAGAGCACTAAGGAGTCTCGTTCGCTCAAGCATCAATTGCAGCTGCTGGAAGGTGGATCTTCGTCCGCCCTCACTGAGCTAGCACGAGAGCGTGATGAAGCCCTAGAAAACATTACAGATGTCCGTAAGAAGCTAGAACAAGCCCAGAAGAAGGCACGAAGCCGTGAAGAGGAGGTAGAGAGAACGGCACAGCTTTGGAACCGAGACAAAGATGCTTGGGAAGGCGAACGGAGAAACTTGGAACGAAAAGTGCATGTGGTGGAAGGGCGCCTGAAGGTCGTGTTGAGTGAGGTAGCCGCTGCTCAAGCAGCTGGCTCATTTCACTCCGCCCAGAATTCCGATGACTCTGGGCGTGATCGGACCGCAACATTGGTAGAAGTCGGGAAAGACAGCGACTCTGCAAGTGTTGACTCAAGAAGCAGTCAAGGGCATCGTCGGACCAGTGTCACAAGTGTGAGTGCTGACAGCGTCGATGAGACTGACTATCACAACGTGCGGTACTCCGTCGCGAGTGTAGCCACCGCCCATGGTCTTAAGAGCGAGGGGCTGAGCTTGGCTCAAGAACTGGCATTTGACGAGGAAGACGAGTTCGAGTCCTTTGAAGCCGATTTTGTACCAGAGTCGCCCGAGGCACTTCCAGAGGAACGGCCGGCTTCCGTTCACTCGCAGTTTTCTTGCACAATGAGCATGGGTGCCAAGGCGAGGAAAATCCTCGGTCTTTCTCTGACCAGTGCAGATGGCCATGGGTTCAAGGCTGATGGGGGCTCAGAGCCCAGTAGCCCTTTGAAAATGTCCACGACACCCTATGTGTACTGCGACGCAGGCATCCAGTATTCGCCTCCCCCATCGCCCGTGTCACCATCAAAACCTGAACTACCGTCCGTGGAGCAGACTGCAGAGCGCCGTGATAGCAAAATTGCGAATCACTATCAAGGTAAAGATAGTGGCACATCGGCGCTTACAATTGATATGGTATCGGCTTCCTGTCAAACTGTCGAAGACCTTCCCACTCCCCCATGGACTCCTAAGCTGGACGAGACACCGCAGCCCGCCCCAGAGGTGACCCCGATGGTGTCTGTGTCGGTACAGACGGTGCAAACTCCTGTCGCACAGACAAATGACAAGGGAGTCAGTGCCTCGCCAAACGACATGGAGTCGCCCGAGATTGATATCCCAATGATCGCCATACACCCGCCACACTCGGAGCCCCCTTCGCCCCGAGGGAGCGTGGTTCTTCCACCCCAAACTAAGAGCGTTTCCTGCCAGGCTAACTTCACTCCGAGCATCGACAGTCGAACCATTGGCATCCAGACAGAAGAGATTCGGATTGATCAAAGGCCTGTCAAGTTACCAGCCAGTCTACTCCCATCAGCGATACCCGACCTCCCACTGGGCGAAAATGCCCAGGATCCTCCTATCCAGCCGTATCATGCCCCTCCTCCAAGATCAAAGAGACGGGAGAGCAAAGCATCTGTACGCACCAAGCCAGCCGAGCCAGTGCAAGCCTATCCGGGAAACAATGACAACGGCCCGCTGGCTGAGGGGTCCAAGTCAGAACACAAGCGGCCTCTACGATCGAGTAGCCTCTTTGCTGGTTTCGATCAAGCGAGTGATGAAGAGACCCCTGTGCAGCCTAAGGACGTTTTCACCGACGATGATTTCTTGAACCGGCCATTTGCGTCGTATACCTTGAAGAGAGGAAAGCTCGTCTCTACGCACGGACGTCCTAGCTTGGACGAGTCTCCTCTTCCGGAAATTGACGAGCATCTACGAGAAGCCGAGGCTGATTTGGCAGAAGCATCGATTGACCCAGGCTCAAAGGAGGTAGTTGGACCATCTTCGTGGACTCAGCGATTCGGCATTGGAGCTTCTGGGGCAAGGCAGCAGGATATCCGTAAAACAGCCATGATTTCCAACGGGGCAGCAGCACATCGGATACCTCGCGAGCGGAGCCCCAGCGAGCCGAGTATGGAGAGTGGTAATGGTGCTCATGGCATTGCACCTCCCATTCCTGTGCCCATGCGGTTCAGTTCCAGGAAATTCCCCGGCGGCAGCGACGGACGGCAAAGTCCAACACCGTCCAATCCTCGCAACTTCTCGGATCGAGGAAGACCGTCTATTGTTCGACGTCCGACCCTGCGCAGAGTTCGGTCTGCGGCTGCCATGTCGCATGTAGATCCGCATGACCGTCCCGGAAGCCGCTCGTCGCCAACCATGTCCTCATCGTCCTGTGGGCCAGACAGTCCCCAGCATCCACCCCTTCCCTACGACGACATCACTGTGCCTCCAGGTAAACGAGCTGTCCAAAGGGGATCGATTCGCCCACCGACAGCGACTCGCCCCTTTGCGCACGGACGGCAGGACTCTACAGCCACCATTGTCCAACCCACAAGCGTTGTTGACGCGATTGCACAGACAATGGTCGGGGAGTGGATGTACAAGTACATCCGGAGACGGAGGTCGTTTGGGGGTGTCGGCGAGCCGAAGGAGAACTGGGATGGGCGGAATGCAGAAGAGGTATCTGCAAATATTACCAACAGCGGCGCAAGACACAAGCGATGGGTCTGGCTGGCGCCGTATGAGCGGGCAGTTATGTGGAGCAGCAAACAACCGACCAGCGGGCCAGCCCTGTTGGGTAAGAGCGGTAGGAAATGTAAGTCAACCTCTGCGTATTATTATCTAACCTTGGTTCATTCATACTGACCCTAATCTAGTGGTTATCCAATCTGTCCTTGATGTGAAGGATGACAATCCGCTGCCTAAAGGCTTCAACCCTCAAAACCAATTCAATCGGTCGATTCTGATCTTAACACCTCAGCGTGCCCTCAAGTTCACTGCCTCTAGCATTGAGCGGCACTATGTCTGGCTGACTGCACTGTCATTCCTGAGTCACTCTTCCATGGGTCTCCATGACCTGGATTCCCTACCTCCAGTCCCACAGGAGGAACTCGCATCACCCACCCACGCGGCCACGCTACGCCGTAATCCAATCCGGGACTCTATCCGAATCGCCAAGGGCCGCCCACGCCCACGACCCAAGGGAAAACGATCCCTTCTCAGTCAACCGGAGCCCGTGCCTGAGCTACCCCCTGCATTAGAAGCCGCCGAGTCGATGGATGCTGCAGACCCGCCGACAGTGCCACGGTTCTCGAATCATGCGCGTAAGCGCAGCAACACTTCTCCCCGCATGCCGATCATCCGCAGCTTCTCAAGCCAGGCTACCATGCCCTCAGCGACGTCGACGCGCGGCTCCTCAGACACTTACGGTCCTGTAGTGCCCTACGCCAACGGCAGCCTGGCGAGCGTCAGTCGCCGCACGTCCGAAACCAGTGTGCGGACTGGTAACTTCTTCGACGCCATTGGCACGGTCCGCATGGAGGCGTTCATCGACCAAACAAATGGATACAAGGGCCCGCGGTCTGCGCGACACAGTCGAAAGGGGTCGAGCGCCTGGAGCGCAAACCAAGAGCTGGACTCGCCATACGCAGAGGGCCGCGGGCATCTCCGGCATGATCCGTTCGGAGAATTTTGAAAGGGCAGGCCCGAATTAGAACGCATTCCAAGCCCACATGATTTTTTTAAGTGGATGCTATAGTTATCTGTATTTTGGATTTATCAAGGCACTTTGGACCAAGTGCGCGCCGGCTATGGATACCACACTTTGCTCGTTCGTTATATTGGCGGGAATAGTATTTAGCTAGTTAGTTAGCTATTGTTTAATGTTATTAGTAATAGACGGTCTAGGACTGTTTGAACCATGAGCAGTCTCCCCCTCCAAGCAGCATCATCATCCCGACATCTAGAGTGTATATGCGTGACCAAACTTCAACAGCAAAGATCCCCATTCCAACAAGACAAATAGACAATAAACCCCCATATCTCACAGCTTCGCCGCCTCCTTAACCTCCCCAATCTTCAACTTGGGCGTATACTTCTTCAGCACGCCCTCATTGTGATACTACAACAAGAAGAAGAAGAACATATGATGTTAGCATCTGCAGAATTCCAACATAATCCCAAACCCGAAAGCAAATCCAGCGAAAAGAGAAAAATTGAATCATTAATACAGAAAAGGCAGCTATCAGGAACAGCAACACGCAACCCAGACAGAATAGACAAGATAAAGGGCAGAGAAGGGTGTAAAAAGAAAATAAGAACCACAAACGCACCTTCCAAAACTGCTTCGAAGCATCCTTGCCCGCTACCCTTTTCAAGATCTTCGCGCCACCGGGATGTTCATCGACGAACTTGGTGACGTCGTAGACGCTGTTGTCGATGATGATGTACATTCCCTTGTCGGGATTGTTGTGCGCGGATACGTCGGCCGGGGTGAATGTTTGGGACATTTTTTCAGTCTTTTTTTTTTCTCTCTTTTCGCTATTCCTTTGTTGTATTCTTTGGTTTGGTTTTGGTAGTTTGGTAGGAGGATAAATGTGTTGGTTGTAGTGGATGTTGAATAGCGGTGATTGTTGGTAGAATGGGTGGATAGTCTGGAATCTGGAATCCGGGGTCGGAAAGTTGGGTGGTTTAAGTTGGCGGCGCGGGCGGAGGTGATGCGAAGATGCCGAGGTTGGTTTGGGGGGGGGAAGCCGCGGTCGGTTTGTCGCGTGTTGCAATCCGCGGGTTGTGATTGGGTCACACGGCTGTGCACTACAAGTATTGCGGGAATTACCTTACTACTATGGGACCATAGGATAGATACTTGAGATGGCAAGTAGATGTACATGCATGCATACATACATTATAGTTTGCTAGCTGTTCATTTGGTATCAACATATAAAGAATAGTTCTACTATATTCTCTCGCATCCTCAATTCCGACTCTTTTCGCCCGCCGCGCCTTGGCCCTTCGCCATCTTCTTCTCCAACCCCAGCGTTTCCAGATCCTTCTTCTTGTAATAGTGTGGCGCCACCTCGACCAGCCACTCTGCCTGCAATGGCATGTTGCTGCGCATGTACTCCTTGCTGGTCAGCACCAGCTCGAAGTAGATCACCCACCGCGGGTTGACTTCAAACAGTGTGCTGGATGGGTGGAGGTACACCGTCTGTCCATTCTTCACTGTGCGATAGCTGTCGCCACCACGCTGCAGTCGCGCCGCGTTGGGGAAGAATCCGGCCGTAATGGCCTTCTGGATCGGCTGCAGATTGTTGGAGCCGCAAGTGCTCACGGACACCTCGACTCGATCGCATAGCTTCGCGAGCTGGTCGCGGACATCGCGCGCCCGTGTCAGACTCCGTTGCTGGAGGAAGTTCTCCTTGGCCCAGACATAGCTGAAGTCGGAGTCAACCCATTGGTTCCAGATATTGAGCAACGTGAGATGATCGCCGCCATCTTTAATGGTGAAGCGATTCCGCGCGCTGTCCGCGTGGATCTTCTTGTCCTTGGGTCGGAAGAAGAGCGCACTCGCCTCACCCAACATCGACACGATGGACAGCACTTCTTCCACGCAGCCGTACTTGTCGGCTGCTAGAATCGCCTTGGCCAGCATGGGATCTGTTGGGAATTCGGCCATCTGTCGCCCGATCTTGGTCAGCTCGCCTCGATCGTTCAGCGCCCCCAACGCATATAGCTGCTCCAGGGCACGAATGATTGTCTCTGCCGGAGGAGGGTCCATGAAGTCAAAGTCCAACAGCTGATCAATTCCCAGGGACTTCAGCATCAGAATGACACTGCTCAGGTTGGTCCGTTGGATCTCGGGCGTTGTGCTTTCCTCCAACTCATTGTAGTAAGCCCACTTAGTATAGAGTCGGAAACACTTGCCCGGGCCGACACGTCCAGCACGACCGGCTCTTTGGTTAGCGGAAGCTCGCGAGCAAGGAGTTACAACTAAACTTTCCATACCCGTCCGCGGGTTGAAGACGTTCTCCTTGACAAAGCCTGGGTCAATAACGTAGACAATGCCGTCGATAGTCAAACTGGTTTCAGCGATGTTCGTTGCCAGCACGACCTTCCGTGCCTTTGGCGGCGTCGGCTCGAAGATCTTAGTCTGTAGCTCAGACGGAAGGTTGGCGTAAATTGGACATATAATCATTTCGGGTATCTTGTTCCCTAATTTTCGCGATGTTTCCTGGAGACTCTGTTCCGCCGCCTCAATCTCTTCTTGACCTGTCAAGAAGACGAGGATATCTCCAGGACCCTGAGTGACATGAATTTGGAAGACCGTCGTGATGGCCGCAGCCAGGTAATTCGCTTCCGGCTGAGATGTGTAGTGGATATCAACAGGGTACCGACGACCGGGGATGTTGAAGATCGGAGCGTCGTCGAAATACTGCTGGAACTTCTGAGCATCCATCGTGGCGGAGGAGATCAGCAGTTTGAGATCTGGCCGTGCCTTCGCAATATCCTTCAAAAGACCACAGGCGATATCCGTGGGCACCGTTCGCTCGTGGGCCTCATCGATCATCAATGCGGAGTACTGGCCGAGATCGGGTTCTGTCAAAAGCTCACGCAGCAACATACCATCCGTCATGTACTTGAGCACTGTCTTGTCGCTGGTGTTGTCCTCGAATCGAATGGCGTAGCCAACCTCATTCCCCAGCTTCACCCCCATCTCTTCCGCCACTCGAGAAGCCACACTCATGGCAGCAACTCGACGCGGTTGTGTACATCCGACCTTCATGCCGCCCTTGGTGAATCCAGCCTCGTGCAGGTACTGCGGAATCTGCGTCGTCTTACCCGAACCAGTCTCTCCCACAATAATCAAGACTTGGTGGTCGTGCACTGCCTGGATGATCTGATCTCGAAATTGGTAGATGGGCAGGCTCTTCCGCGTGTCCTCCATCGACTGTGCCTTCTTCTCGGCCGCATCAATCTGCTCTTGAAGCCTGCGCTGCTCCTGCGTCATAGGCTTTCGAGTGCCTTCCATCTTGGCATCCACAACGAAGTTGATCTTCTGCGAATCATCAAACACGTACTCATAATCGCCCTCGTCAACGAATTCGGCCCGGTTGATCTGTGCCTTAGCCTTGGCTGTCTGCTCCATCTCCCATTCTTCGTGCTCCGTAATGAACCGCTCCTGACCAGCGTCATCGCGATCCACATAACGCTTGTAGAGCGCGTCTTCCTTCTTCTTCCGATCGATTTTGCCCTTCTCTGTGATATAGTCCTCGGGCATCATATAACCATCGCGATAGTCATCAATCCGCAACCGCTCCTCCGCAATCCGCAGAACTTCTCGGTTACGCGCGAACTCCTCCTTCTCCTTGCGGGTCAAATGGGGATTATCACGCAACTCTGCCGTCTCCTCGGCGACCTGTCTGCGCAAGAGGGCCAAGCGCTTCGTCTCGCGTTTCTTCAAATACTCCTGTCGCGAGCGCATCCTTAAGTCAGGCATGACAGCCGCCCGCGCAGACGCATCATCCGCCAATGCTCGTCGCCGCGCAGCCTCACCAGACCTTGTCCGATCCTCGACGATCTTCTTCGTCTTGCCATCATCCTTCTTAGCAAGGCGTTTCGCGAACTCATCTCGCTCCTCCAGGTCGCGTTTCCGGTCCTGTTCCTTCTTCGTCTCTGGATCCAATTCTTCAGAGGTATTCGACCGCGGCGACGCCGATCCATCCTCCAACCGAGTCCGTTTGGAAGGCGACTCCTCAAATTCACCCGTCTGCTCCTCATCCTCGTATAGCTCATCTTCAGGTATCTCCTCATCTCCCCAGCGATCATCAAAGTCATCAGCATTCCGTCGCCGTACCTTCTTCGTCCGGGGCCGGTCGCGAGATTCCTCTTCCCGACTGCGATCGCGTTTGCGGCTATCATCCTTCTCCCAGCGGCTGCGACCGCTCTCGCTGTCCTTGCCGCTTCTTCCAGTGCTCCGATCTTTATCTCTGCGTCGCCGTCTGTCCCGTTCGGCCTCGACATTCGCAGGGCCTAGTGACCCCCGAGCCTCGGGTACGTCATCATCCTCCATCTCCAGCAGTCGGTATTTCTTCTTTGATGAAGCAGCATCACTGCGCTCTTTGGTTGCTACATTGGCACTAGTAGCGCTGGACCCGGTGGCCCTTACCCCAACCCGTTTGTAAAGTTCGCCGCAAAACGAACCAATGTCATCGGAGCTACCGTCCAGAAAAGGGAGCAGCTTGTCTTGCAAAGCAGAAGCTGACTTGGCGGAACTGGCGGTGGCAAGCACGAAGTCGACGACGGTAGGGTCCGACGCGTTCGTAAGGCGGAGGAGAGAATCCGACACGAATGTTCGATGATCCATGTTGTGAGGGTGAGTTTTCTCGAGGTTTCACAGCCGAAGTAAAATAAATTCGCAGATACTGGTAGGTCCTGGAAGAGCTTTATGATAGCAAAGTCTAAGACTTTAGCATTCGGTGGAGAGAAACTTCCAGTTCGAATACTTCAGTGATGGGGCTTTAAACCGAGCCGCACATCGTCGCCGCGTTATTGAGAATAAGGCCAACAACAACAACAAGGGGATGGTAATTATCCAATGGATTTAATATATAATCGGCGACTTGTTATTGTAAAGTCGGCCGTAGCCGTTGTTAGAGAAAAGCTCGGGACACCAAAGGCGTTGGAGAGGGTCGGGGAGACGCATGCAAGATGGAGGTCGCGGCGAGGAACTGCAAGAACGCCGCGGCGGGCGCCAAGACCGAATTTAAGTCGGCCAGTGGCGAGCCTCCGACGGTGCTCCAACTCGCTCTACCTTTTTGCATACAAAAGTATACGCTACGCTATCAATTTTTCACGCGATACTTATTTGGGTATTTTGCTTCGTCCAATTCAAATGTACATTTCAATATCTAATTCACAAGCATTATCCTGTTCTCAAGCCGGCTTGATCACGTCGAGGCGGTTTCTCGTCTGCCAAGGACACATAGAATGGAGTAGTGAGGACAATAGGAGAAGGCAAAAGCACGCGGGGAGGGATAAAGGTATATCGAATCAAGTGAACACAATGTCGAAGAGAAAATGGCGCACACGCCAAGGATATTTAATACATAGACATCTAGAAATAGGGTAGTAGAGGCCATCAAACGCCCAAAGTGCACGAGCAAGAACTACTCCAGTGCTCTCGAGTCACTCCAACAAAGGAAATGAAGGATCAATAAAACAAAGGTGGTGAAGAGAAGAAGTGTAGTGGGAATCAAGAGCGGAAAAGCAAAGACAGATGGCAGGCATAGGATTATAGACATGTCGCCTCGGTCATCCTGCGTCACGAGGTTTTCAACCTGCAGTGAAGACATAGGTACATGAAGGGAAGGAACCGCGATAGGGAGGTAAAAAGAGAACAAAAAGGAACAGAAGCCTATCATCATCGCTAAATCAACGAGTCATGTTCACAAAGGAAATTTTCGAGGAATGAGTGGACAACCACCCCTCCATGGGACTAGCATATCGGTCATATCAACATCGTCCAAATCATGAAGGATGGTCGGTAAAACATCCCGATCACATCAAGGTCATCGAGAGAAAAGAGGCATTAATATCAAAAGCTCGGTTCTCCGCATAAACGCCGTCATTAGATGGTACTGTAAAGGGAAAGCGCCAACTCCGTCCAAATGCACTAGATATGTCAAGTCGTGGTGATTAAACATCGATCATCTCGGCGTCTTCCGCCAGGACCTCATCGGCAGGGCCCCAGTTACCTTCGTAAACGGTGGCACCCGCACGACGCCGGCGGGCGACGAATTGGACCCCGTACGTTTCTAGCACTTGGTCCGCAGTGGGTCGGTCAAGCGGTTCAGGCGAGATCATCCAGCGCACAATATTGTCCAAAGCCTGCTCATGGCTAGCGTCGACCATGAAGCTAGGGGGATCAACAAGCTCGCCAATTCGAGCCGTAGAGGTCATGTCCCGCTTGCTTGTGCGACCTCCGAGGAAGCTGTCCACGCCGTAATCATCCTCGCCAAAGTCTGAGGTGCAGAGCTCTTCGAACGATGGTTCCTCCGAAATCGGATTACCGGACGCATCGCGGAAGACGCTGGTCTCAAAACTCCAGGTCAAGCTAGGGATATCGCTCATGTCTCCATTGCGGAGCTTCTGCCACGAGAGGCCATTGTCAGGCAGCTCAACATTGCCGGCGATCTCGAACATAATGAGACCCAGAGAGAAGATGTCCGCTGGTTTATCATAGCGGCCCATTAAGATCTCTGGTCCAATGTATTCGCGGTCGCCCTCGCCTTCGATGCCGTCTTCTGCTGGCCAGCGTGCGGCCATACCGAAATCGGCAATCTTGAGCACGCCCTCAAAGGTAATTAGAATATTGGCTGGCTTGAGATCAAGGTGAATGAATCCCATGTCATGGATATGTTTCAAACCCTGCCACAACGGTTAGCACCATCCTACATCTGCTGGTGACTGTATCCATCATCCAAAGGTTAGTACCTACCATTGATAGTTCCAGCATTATCTTCCAGATTCTGAAATCGTCCAGCCTTGCCTTGAGCCCAACTTGCGCAAGGAATACATCCAAGCTGCCTTCTTCACAGAATTCTGTCTGAATGTAAAGGTGGCCGTTGTCCTCCCAACTGTTCATAAAGGAGATGATGTGGTCCGAGTTTGTCAACGACTTGAGTATGTCGACCTCACGAATACGGCGTTCGCGGTCCTTGAGACCCGAATATGGCTGCTTCGATTTCTTGACAGCCCATACTTGTTCGGGCACCACTTTGGGAGGGAACATCTCCCTCGGGTAAGTAGAGATCGATGTGTCGTGAGGTTCGGAAACACGGTATACTTGAGAGAATTCACCAGTTCCAACAAGTTCTACGCGTTCAAACCGTGAAGTTAGACTGGGATCGACATCTGGCGCATGGTAACCAGCCAACGGAAGGCTGGGCCGTTTTCCAGACTGGAAGGAATCACGAGGGCCAGTTGGAGTTGCTGGCAGATTCGAAGAATTGAAGTCGGGCTGACCTGATTGCTGTTCATTCGAGATTGATAATCCACTTGGATCGGGGAAGAGATGGTCTTGCGGCGTACGTGGAGAGCCACGCTGGAACCTGTCGTGCAAGGGACTTGAATTGGTGCCTTTGGCCTCCGCCAATCGCTCAAGAGAGGCAATCTGCGAGACTGGAGGCGGATAGGTTCGAGACGGGAAAAAGCTCTGCTTGGTAGGTGTTGGTGGGAAGTCGTTCTCGCTTAGTGGTTGGCTATTGCGGCCGCAGGGCGATTGAGATGGTAATAAGTCATCGCCGTCGATGCTAGCAAAGCTTCCGCGTCGGGAAACCTCGGGCCTGTTGAAGGAACTTCCAAAAATCCCCATGCCTCGCGCAAAAGGTCCGGATTTTGGGCGTGTGCTAGAAGGATTGAAGGGTGACGGGGGTATTGTGTCTGATTGCCGAACCAAGCCTGACATCTCCAAGGGCCGTTCTGGCTGTACTCTTCCACCAGTAGGGAAGAGGTTAATTGGTCTTTTGCATGGGGTGTCGGGCATATTCTTGCTAAACCCTAGCGTGTTCTGGGGATCGTCGGCATTACGGTTCTTCTTGGATATGAGACCAGTCGACATGAACGCCGCTGGGAGAGGCTTGACTAATTTGTAATTCTCAGGCGTGGCAAAGGAGTCGATGGACGAGGTCGAATCCTCGCGGTTAAGATGCCGCACCGGCGCAGGCCGAGCGGTTCCCGCGGGGAGGGACTTGGAGAAGTTTATTATCCCTCTGGGACGATCACCCTTGTGAACAGGCTCGTGGGTCGGAGAGTCGTCTCCAAGACTCGAACTTGAGGACGATTGTGTGATTGTTCTGGACAGGGGATGAGCGGAAGGTCGGGGCTGTTCGGCGTTGTTACCCGTCGACGCAAACAATGGGGTACCTGGCGACGGTCGTGACAAGAACGGACTGTCTCGGTTTGGCTGGAAAAGATTCTGATCCAAAGACATGCGAGGTCGAACTGAGAGCGGGGTCCCATTGTCTAGGGCGTCTGGTGAATCATCCATGGCCTTCGCCCGAGCAAAAAGAGAGCGATCACTTTGACGCTGCTGTAAAGTTGACCGCCGTAGAGAGGAGGACCGTTTGGGAATGGTGGCAAACGGGCTGAACGGTGTGATGGGGGGAGGGAAGGAAGGTGTGGTCGACTCTGGGGAAGCTTCTTCTTCAGGCTCTTCAGCAGCGTTCGGTGTGACTTCATTATCAAAGATGCTAAATTCGCCCGATAAACTTGCTGCCTGGACGCTTCGTCTTTTGGCCGATGGACTGCCGCGAGACACTCGATCTAGATTCATAATTCCGTCGCTCCGTTTCAGCGGGCTAACCGTGGCGTATGAGCCAAACGTGCCACTCCTGCGTTTCTCAATGCGGGAAAGGGCTGGGCGGGGTCCCAAGGTGGAATCTGCGCATGCAGGCGTGTCACTTGGACAGATGTCTCTAGCCGTGTTGTCGGGTTGAACAAGTCCAGGTGTTGAGGGTGTGTTCTCCACGCCAGGTGTTGTTGGGACTGACGGCGCAGGCTTTGCATTTCCCTGGTCCGTAGAGACGTTCAAAGCACGCTTCACGGGGCTCCTCGGAGAGGTCCGCACACGGCGCATGGTTGGCCTCGTGATCTTTCCGGTTGGGTGATATGGGACTGCGAATGGAGACTGGTGAGAGGAACTGGGGAAAAGGACAAAGTTGCTCTGGGTGGATCTTCGTGAAGGTGACAAAGGCGACGAGATGTATGGCGTTGTCTTGGACGGCGAATGACCTCGAGAAGCGAGCAAGGAGAAGTTGGAGCTCTTCGAAGGTGAACGAGATAGTGACCGGCGCAGTTGTCGAATGGCCGAGTTAGCATCCATATGGTGAATGCCCGTGTGCGAAGGCAGGTGTAGTGTGCCACCCGCATCACGGTGCGGCGAAAATGTCGCGACCATGATGACTACGATCAGTCTGTAGAAGATAAAACAGAGATGCTAGCTCTCAGTTCCTTTGAAGGTGAGGCCAAGTTCACTAGAACGGTCAATAATAGGTTTGTGTCGTGATGAGGCCGGCTAGACAAAGTGTAAGGTAGTATAGAGTACACGACGCGGGACAAGTTGACCTCAAGTCGCGATGGGCGTACACAACAACAGAGTCTTCTGGGCCCAACAGAGAGAGTGTGTGTGGCGGTGTTTTCTTCCGCCTGTCGGTCTAGCCAGTGACAGGGGTCGGAAGTTGTTGTTGACCGCAGTGGAATGCTAGGAAAAGTAAGGCTGCGCGCCTATGGCAGGGTGCAGCCAAAACAAGTCGAAGATGCGAAACGACGGCTGTACATCACCAGCCTATTCCGAGACCACGGGGGGCTTCGAATGCGCTTGTTGAAGCCTCCATACACCCCAAGAGTGTGTGGGAGAGGGCAGGAACAAGCACAAGCGGGGACTCTTTCGCGCTGAGGCACGGGGCCACGCGCCTGAAACACGCAATATCCTTGAAGGGAGCTTCGCAGTGTCGCTCGGCGCCTAATGCGATATCGTTCGATAAGACGGAATGTTTCAGGGTGACAACCCAGGCGTCAAAACAAGCAGGCGCGACGCGCGAGGATGCAGCGGCGACAGGAACGAGGACAGGCGCGACGAGGCGGACGCGAGAAAGTTCCCAGACAGCGAATAACTGCAAGCGATGCGCGAGAAGAGGTAACGAGTTGCAGAGAGGGATGCGAGAGGGATGATTTTGATTTGATAGAAGGACACCGGCAGCAGCAAGATCCGTCTCCCTTCCGTCTCCCTTTCTTCCTTTAAAACCTGAATGACTGCGCTTCTCCGGCAGAGGGACTGACTGCGCAAGGGGTGACGCGAGATGATACCCCAAAAAAAGAAGCAGACAGCCACGCGAAGCAAAGGAGTCGAAACGAAGAAAGGGATGGGGAGGCGGCAGTGGTGGACAGCAGTACTAGTCGTACGTAGTGGAGATGGTGGTGGGAGATAGGATGGGCGGCCGGACGGAGGGGCTGGCGACTGGAGACGGAAGTTGCGGTATGCAGAGCCAACCTTCAATAATGAGAGATCAATCGTCCGATGGATTTCCCTTATGGGAGGAGAGTTTCGACGGTTAAGGTTGGGGAAGGTGGATAGTCGATGGCTGGAGAGAGGACAGGTGATGATGGGGACACAACACACTGGGAGAGGTTGGCAAGGAAAAAAAAAAAGAAGCGAATGAACATAGTGGTCAGTTAGGTGACCACGACTAGTAGTTTACTAAGGTGGTCTACTAGGTACTTAGCGATTCTATCGGCAGGATTTGAGTGGTTCAGGTTCAGGTACCCAGCCAGTTACGCCTTGGGAACCTTGATGTTTCTGTCGCACGCGCGACTCTCGCGTCGTTTGTTGTTGTTTGCCCCGCTCCATTGGGTTTAGCGCCGGAAGTCTCACGCGTCTTTTTTCCCACCCCCAGGCAGGGTTCGCCCCTCCCTCCCCGTGGATCATACGATTACAGACCGCGTTAGTTACCGTACATATACACACACACACACACATTTACTGTGAGGCCCGTTTACCACACTTTACAGTGAAGCAAGTTAAGCCCAAGTTCACATAAAAGCAGCACAGAGTTCTTAACATTCCTCTAACCTATGTCTGGAGAATTAAATCATCCTTTGTTGGTCTAGTTTTGATTGGCTGACTAGTTAGCCTGGCTTGGATGATGTTCAGGCATCCATCCATCCCGCGGTACTAGTAATTTCTCCCGTACCGGCTCTTTCGCTCCAAGACAAGATTTCGGGTTCTATCCGCCATCGCCCCTCCCCCATTGTTAAACAATATCATATCGATAATGGTTGATAAGAGCACCGCGGGGGAACCGGATCAACTCATTTATCCTGCTCCCTTGCATGTGCGCCAAAATGAAACCAAAAATTCGAGTATTCGCTTGGTTCAATCCGGCCACCAACTACGTATGAGACGCTTAGGTTTTGCCAGGCTAAGAGCTGCCAATCTACTAGTTGGTACGATGTAGTAAGTAGTAGTAATCTTTCCCTGAGTTATCGCCACCAAATCCTTTTCTGCTTCCAGGTCTCGTGCTCTATCCACTAGTAGTATCTACAGTATGCCAATAGAAAGATGATAGTGGCAAAGATCTCGTCAGTGTGAAACTATTCTTCTTCTTTCTCGTTTGTTCTGGTTTTATTTCAAATTGGCCATTGTCGATTTCTCCACACCTTTCAACTAGACTCGAGTCAGGCACGGCGCGGCTTAGGCATCTTTTTGGGTTCCGACGCCCCATCTTCCCGTGCTTCCATCATCCTTCTAGTTGTTCTCCAGACAACTTGCGGCATAGGCGTAGTAGGCAGATCCAATACCTCATAACTTGCCACTTTGACATAAGGTAAACAATGTGATTTGTACCTAGATGCCAGGGTAACCAACAAGTCTCACTCACGCGTTTGTTTACCACGCTGTCGCCACTATTATCTTGAGAGGCCCAACTTCAACCCTACGGACCAAACCCCTCAGCACCACGTGTTGTCCCTCATTGTCGACGTGTCCAAATCGAGAGATACTGACGTCGGAGGGCCCCCAATCGCAGATCATAGTCTCAGGTGGATGGATACCCTTAGTACTTACCGTTTCTGTCGTGCAATTCCCAGTATGATACATACCACCAACTTCCTCTCCATAAACCCCTTCGTACATACGTCATAAGATACTCAGTCAACCGACCTTGACGTACCCCGAATATGATGGATAACATCATAATTCTCGACATAAGGCGTATACCCCACACGATCTCCATCTAGATTGCCAGCTTCCGTGCTCTAGCGTCTGAAGGAATGAAACGGTCTCGTTGCCTCAGGCGACTGAACTTGCAAAGTGAACATGGGTAGACTATTGTCCTGAGCCGACAATCGGGCATCGATGACGTTGGCTGTGCTCTCATACCAGATACCTGGATCTTGATGCGAATTTACCATGAGATGTTTTCTTCCTTGCCCCTGGAGTATCTTGCGCTATCACGATAGTAACTTACTGGTGTTAAATGGTGTTGTTGGTAAAGCGCAGATTTAGTCCGCTCGAATGATAGCACTATCCCCAAAATATATAGTAGCGCAATCAACAACCACAACTAAGAGTATTACCACTCAACGAGCCAATGTCAACACCTGAACCCAGTTCCTTGCACATACTAATCTTGCGTGAAAGTCGCCTCAGGCACTATTTTATCATGGCCATAGGCAATTATTTGGCAGATCCAGGCTATTACTCTAACCCTTGATTCGATTTATTGGATTTCATCCATCCCTAGAAGTCCAAGCGTTTGTCGACAGCATGACCCAGCAAAGATCTGCTCTGCTTCAGGTTATGTCGCCGTGAGCCCAAACAAGGTAAAGATAGAGATTCAACTCAGCAATCATGCATAGATTGCATGCAGTGATCTTATCCCTTACGCCGAGTCCGTAAGACCCCATAACCTTTCTGCAGCCACTTTGGCCGTTTCTCGGCGTGGTCCGTCCGCAACATCTTCGACTAAATCGGTAATTGATATCGTATTACTGCATGAACCCCAAATCTAATCTTGTCGCCCATGATCTACATCGCCACGGCCATTATTAGCTGAATATGACATGTCTCATCAGTAGCTGAGGCTGCGCCAAATCCCGATTTTGCTGCACGGGATGCTCGATAGTATTGATTTACCTACCCTGCAATCGTCCCTCAGCCATCCAGATCTTCAGAAAATCGTAGTGGCTTGGTCTATTGGGTCGGTGAGTTAGCAGCAATACCCCCAATGAGCATCAATGCACTCACTCGATCCGGCATTCAGCAAACAACATGTTGTGGAACTCTATAGCTTTGTGAAACAAGTTCTGGCTGTTGCGGGATTATTGCGGTCGCATTAAGCGTTCACCAGTATTTGGGGAAACGGATGCAGAAGAAACTGTAGGTCTAGTGTTAGGTTGTCCTACTACCATCATACATGTTCACTCAACATACTTAGTTTAGCCGGGCTTGTTTGGAGTCTCTTTGAACATACAGCCTTTTGAGGATTGCGGGATATCCTTAGCTGTTCGTGACAGAACAAGAGCATACTAATTGTTCTGCTAGGGAACAAACGAGGTATAGCGACAATATCCTGGGCTTCACAGTCCATTGTCGCCAGCATACATCTGAATTTTTGCGTAAGGTGCTCGAAAGGAGAACTTGATTTGTGCGTCAGGTTCATTTTGACGGTTAAAAAAAGCCACAAACAAAGCTGTAGCCATTGGTACTACTAGGCCTCAGAGGCATGCTGTTGAATGGGAGCTTAGTGATATTAGTATCTCCCATGCTGCCGCCGCCCAAGTGGAGGTTTATTCTCTGAGTTGACTAAGATGAATGCCGTCGCTTTCATTTTGTGTCTGGGAAAGACTTACTTAGTACAACTAGAAGATTGTAGGAGCACCAAGTTATGAATAGCAAGTTCCTGAGCCTCTCAGATGTTATAGATACAAAAGGATCCCGAAGGTGTCTAAATGTGCATTTACGCCCATAACTTCCTATTCTCCCATTCGGATATTTGAGTATGTCGGAGTATACGGAACTGTGCATCAGAATGACAGCAGCAAGAGCATGCAATCTTTGCTTCTATCTCGCATGGAATAGAAAATTCTGCAGCAAGGGGACTGGAGAAATGCACTGTGCAAAGTGCATGCAGCGTCCAGCCGGCGATATCCATCAGACAGGCAGGAAGGAGAATTTATATTGAATGATGTTCGGAGTTTTACCATGACAGATAAAGGGAGTGCTTTCGAGGTGCAATCGTGGGGCTCTGAAACCATGCATGCCAATGTTATGGTAGGTACTATGAATCATTCATGCCATGACGGTGCTGTTTGAATGGCTGTCCAAAGATAGTGCTTGGCTTGCGCAACTGCCTTTACAATAGGTAGGCAGCTGCACTCTGGATTCGGACGTGCTCTGATAGCGTGTTCCATCTGCTCGAGGCATGACAAGTTTCAGAGGTGTGATACAAGTTCAATGGGATGTTTCTTCAGGAAGCCCCTTCAGTTTCAGAAAGTATCATCTCACACTAACATAAGCGCAATATTGGTATAGTGCTATTTCGAGTAATTGACTACGAGGACCGACTGGCGTCGCTGTTGAAATACAGTTATGACCCTTAATTCTTGTTGCAAGCGGCTTAGGTCTGGGATACTGAGCCATGGTATAAATGCGAAGTTTGCATAAGAGTATTCTCTCTATGATAATGCCTTGTGGTGTGACTTTAGGGTACGTCGGACCAAGGTATCGGTACACTTCCCTCCATCCTAGACGGCCTGGTAGTTGATTTAGACAAATGTTTCTGAAACCATGCAAAGGGCTGTTGGCCATATACATTGAAGGCTCTTACATAGGTAGCAACTGTCTTATGATTGAGAAGACTCCCATGCTTCACTGCATTCTATTGTGTCATCAACTAGTCACAGTAGGTGTACTCGATGATCATCCTCGAAGGCTAATCCCAAAGGACTTCACGAATTACTGTGCAGGCCGCTATATCTGCAGTATACCGGTGGGTTCGTCAAAGTGCAGGCTGCACTATAGGGTACATCATATGAAGCGATTGCGTCACCCAGATACGCCCCACGAATATAGGTTTGCATAATCATTAGGGCATTTTGAACAGGACTGTACTGTGATATAACGATTGATGATGACTGAGCATAGTCTTGCTGGGTAGCGAGTATTCTCATAGTCTCTGCCTAAGATGCGTGCGGCAGCTCACATGTAAATAAACGGGAGAGGTATCGCCTTGAGTAACTGATTTGTCGAGTTGTGATACATGGCATACTTGAGTATCACTTGTGAGGACACTTGGGTGGCTTTTTAAGACACCGAGTCTCATTTGTGTGCTAACAAGAGGGAAATCAATAACATATTGATTTCTATCAACTACCCTCTTGGGGGACCCACCATTACTACTATGTAATGGAAGCAGGAAGCGAGCTCCATAGATATTTTCGCGGAAAGTGAGATCTCCTACAGTGACATTGGTTTGCATCATCTGAGAAAAGCTATGTCTATCATTTCCTTGGTAAGAGATGGGGGTTGTATGGAATAATCTATCGTGCGGGGGCACGGCCAGTCAGAGGTCGCGTAATATAAGCAAATCTTATGGAAGAGGGGAAATACCTCAAGAAACAAGTGGGTGGCTGGAGAATGCCATTGAAAGAGGGATGTTGCATTTGTTCCTAACAATGGCGTCTGATCCTGGCATATTGGCACATGATTCGAGGCTGAACTAGACCAAGATACCCAACCTGCTACCCCCATAGCGTGGACGAGGTTAGCTGCCTAGGTAGCGTCTTGCACGAGCCAACCATGGTTTAGATATTCATAAGCTCGAGGCTCGATTATGGTGATAAATAAGCGGACTCTCTCGTATGGTGAGGGGGGGCTGCTGCATTGGAGTGGAGACAAAAACAAGGTGAGGGTCGACAGGCTCATGGATCGACTTCGGACATACGTAAGTAGTACTAGGTACTCAAAAGAGATTTACCACACGATCAAAGGAGCAAGGTACCCACAAGTACACAGCAGCACTAGTAGTCGAGGCAAGCGCTGGAAAATGAGTAAGACCAAAACCGCGATCGGCCAGCCGAAGCTTCGGGCAAATCAGTTCATAGTTATAGTCATCCAGTTTTAGCCTTGGCCAGTGTCGACCCACGCTTTCAAATATCTCTTCGTCAAATGAAAATGAAAGTGCACAGGACCTAAGCCAAGTAATGGAGAAAGTAAGATCGTCTATAGTGGACTCCAACCCAGACAAATGATCCCTGTTCACGTCCGAGTCCCAAAGGAGGGGGAATTTGCGGCGGGGTAACCGTGCGGGCCATGATGTTCCCATGTCATATACACACTACAAGGTCTGGCGATCAGATGTCTCTATATGTTTCAAGTGTAAAAAAGCACGTGCTTCAAAGTCTGGCACTGGTTTATATTTGCTCATTTGTTACTGGTTTAATAGTAAAAGTGTCGTGGGAGATACCCCCCCCCCCCTAATAAACTACCTCTGATAAATTGTGTATAGACGGGCAGCACTTGGGTAGTCACTCCAAGTGAGACAGTAAGTATCCACCATATTGTACTAGAGTAGAACTGCTGGATGCTTGCATGGGGCTATGAGACATCTATCGAACAGGGATACTTACAACTTCGTATTGCTGTGGTGTGGGGGCGATGGAGGGGGATCCCTTCCTTTTTTTTATTTCCTTCTTTCCTGCGAACCGTAGATTGTTAGGGCGAAGCCGGTGCGAAGATCAGGGCAGCAGTGAGCTCTCCGAAGAAGGTAGGGCATAAAATGGTCTAAACCGAGTAGATTAGCAATCCTTGATATCTGGTAGGTCCAGACAACAGCCGAAGAAGCAAATCACATTCACGCAGGCCCTTGAGACCAACTAACGTATGATCAGCCAGCAAAGATGGGCACCGCAGACTACTAGTCTTGTTTCGACAGGTAGATGATCTTGGTCATTCGAATGATCATTCGGTGTAGGAAGCCCTCAGAGAGGTGAAGGGGTACAGTCAATTTCTAATGGAGCTTGCCGCATTCCGTACAGATTGCGATCTTGCATGCGTGTGTGGGACACCGTATCCATGCGATCACTTTCTGCTGAGGCCCGCTGACCGGCAAACCTTACTACTGATCGCCGACATGGAAATGCAGCGGGAAAGGTTTCCAATGCATGGAGTGGTCCCTGGATGTTCATTTGGGGTACGCCACCAGTCCAAGGTTTGGGGGTTAGCATGAATGTACGCCCCCAATGGTCACCGGGAGGCCTAGGGAGAAAAGAAAAAAGATGAGATATCGTGCGACCCCCAAGAGAATGGCGACCAATTATTTGATGCCTGAGCGGCTTTTTGACGGACAAGAGCCTATACTCGGTTATGCTGGTTTTCAATTGTGTTGAGGGAAAGCTTATCAAGATTGGTACCTGAACAGTCTAAGCGGCCACAGGAAGTAATGTAAGTTGGGCGTCAATACAATACGGATACCGCCCTTCAGCCCAGTTTTGAAACGCCGTGAAATTTCCCGACATCGGGCGACTGCGGATCTAATCTAAGCGTCCATCATCCCACTTTTCCTGGACAATTGCACACCGGATCATGCTGCGGGGCTCCCATGGTCGGCTCTCGGGGCTCGGAGACTGAGTAGGCAGCCTGATTAATTGCTTGCTTTCTTTGCTTTTTCAAATCCCATTGAATAATTCATGGGTATAGCTGGCTGAATATGCTCGGATGAATTGTCACTGCGGGTGATGGTGATGGTAATTGTGGCGTGATCCTCAACTTCTCAGGGTGCAAACGGATCTGGGGCGAGGAAAGGCAAGAAAGGGAGGGGCTACGGTTAGCACTTCGTTTACAAGTTAAAACCACAAGTGGCTCTTCTGGGCCTGATCAAACATCATCTTATCTCCGAGGGAACTGCCATATATGCCTGAGATTTCGACATATGGCGTTTGAATTTCTTCAGTTATACTACTATTATGTGAAGACTCACCTCCCCTTACAAGATCAACGCTTGAGACACTACCAATCCTCTCTTGGATAACCTGCTTGACCAAGCTTCAGTGTCGTTAATAGTCTACTTGTTATACGTACTTTTACATTGTCAACCGTCAAGAGCCTCGGTGTCCCAGCATCAAACCAATACGTAAAAAAGAGGAGCAGCAACCACGTTTCTCATGTAGCAGATGGTGGAACCGAGGAGTGCCTATCAAATAGGCCAATGCCGGCCCGCTGTCAGAAGAACCACCACCGGCTACTGCTTTTACTCGGTGGTCTGGAAAAAACCCGTCCTTACGGATCCGCTGCTTCAGAAGGAAGAAAGAAAAAAAAAAAAAAAAAAAAAAAAAAAAAAGGGCTGGGCGCTGATTCCCTTTTTTTTTTTTTTGGTCGTCATACTTTCTGAACATCTTTTAATTTTTTTTTAGTCGAATTTACTCTTTTGGTACCTTGATTTTTTTTTTTATTCTGTTTTAATTTATTATTATTTTCTTTTCTCTCTTACGGCGCAAAGGTCTCCAGTGTCTACTAAGTTCGAAGCTACTGTCCTTCCCCCCCATCCTGTTTATCCACCGGGGGATATAACTACGACCATCGCTCCCACCATTTGCCGCGGTTCTCTCCCACCTTCGTTCAGAATCCCATCATTATTGCGTCTTCCTCCCATCTTCCTGCTCCCCGAACTCTGAGCACGGAACTTCTACCTCTCCTTTCAATCACACCTTTTTCACCTCTCTTATTCTCCTACTAAGCTTGCATCAATGGAACCTGCGGTACGGAAGCCAGAAGTGAGCTTCCACAGCCAGCGCAGCATGCCCTCCAAGCAGCAGCGAGTGCCCTCGAAGCTCAAGGCCACCCCCAGGGATGAGCTTCACGACCTGCTTTGCGTGGGTTTCGGTCCTGCCTCTTTGGCGATCGCAATTGCTTTGCACGATGCTCTGGACCCTTGTCTGAACAAGTCCGCTCCTGCGCCTGGATCGCAGCCCAAGGTCTGCTTTGTCGAGCGCCAGAAGCAGTTCGCTTGGCACTCGGGCATGTTGGTCCCTGGTTCCAGGATGCAGATCTCTTTCATCAAGGATCTGGCGACCCTTCGTGATCCTCGCAGCAGCTTCACCTTCCTCAACTATTTGCACCAGAAAGATCGTCTGATCCATTTCACGAATTTGGGGACGTTCCTTCCGGCCCGCTTGGAGTTCGAAGACTATATGCGGTGGTGTGCGCAACAGTTCTCCGATGTCGTGTCTTATGGGGAGGAAGTTGTCGATGTGACTCCCGGAAAGACGGACCCTACCAGCTCGGTGGTCGACTTCTTCACCGTCCGCTCTCGCAACGTTGAGACGGGTGAGATCATCGCGAGAAGAGCGCGCAAGGTGGTGACTGCACTTGGTGGCTCAGCAAAGATGCCCCCAGGCCTGCCCCAGGACCCACGCATTATGCACTCCTCGAAGTACTGCACCAACCTGCCCCACCTGCTGAAGAACCCGAACGAACCCTACAACATTGCCGTGCTTGGAAGTGGCCAGAGTGCTGCTGAGATCTTCCACGACTTGCAAAAGAGATACCCCAACTCGAAGACAACACTAATCATGAGAGATTCGGCTATGCGGCCTAGTGACGACTCTCCTTTGTGAGTATAATACCTTTCACACTCCCATTATGTCGCGACTAACAGCAAATAATATAGTGTGAACGAGGTCTTCAACCCCGAACGTGTCGACAAGTTCTATAACCTCTCTGCCGAAGAGCGCCAGCGTTCCCTCAAGGCCGACAAGGCCACCAACTACAGTGTGGTCCGCCTTGAACTCATTGAGGAGATTTACCACGACATGTATGTCCAGCGGGTCAAGAACCCCGATGAGAAGCAATGGCAGCACCGCATCCTCCCCGGACGCAAGATCACGCGAGTCGAACACCATGGACCTCAGAGTCGGATGCGGATCCACGTGAGGGCGACCAAGGATGGATCGGACAGCCTTGTCGGCGACGGCAAGGAGACACTGGAGGTGGATGCACTCATGGTGGCGACCGGCTACTACCGCAACGCACATGAACAGCTTTTGAGCAATGTGCAGCATCTGCGACCGGAGGGCCAGGAGGAATGGAAGCCGAGCCGGGATTACCGGGTTGAGATGGATCCCAGCAAGGTCAGCCCCTATGCTGGAATTTGGCTGCAGGGCTGTAACGAGAAGACACACGGACTGAGCGACAGTCTTCTGTCGGTGCTGGCAGCACGCGGTGGAGAGATGGTGGAGTCGATCTTTGGCGAGCAGCTTGCGGGTGCAACGGTGCCGGTCACAAAGTTGCGCGCTATGCTGTAAAGGCTTTACGTCGGATCGGAAACCCAGGAGGGGTTTCCGCTTTCTAGACGCGTGAATGATGGCGCTAGGGCGGACATTTCTTTTTTTTTGCAGCAAAAGAATGTCCCGGAAAATGAGCGTGCATATCCCCAAACAAATTGGTAGGGGGTGATATCTTCTTTTGCGATCATCTACTTGACTGTATCTGTGTTCAATTCTCTGTTTCATTACCTATACTTTGTTACTACTGTTACTGCCCCATCATCTGATTCCCCAAGTACCCCATTGCGAGTTATATAGCCAGCTACATTGGAATTGTATAACGAATAGAGATCGGAATGCATCAAGTCTGTCTTTATTGATTAAATTTCACCGCTCATTGTGTTGAGGGAGAAGGCCATGCGAGTTGCGCACGTTGCTTTTTTTTTATCTGCTACAGATGTTATTCATTCTCCTCAAACTTTATCCGCCCCCCCCCCCCCCCCCCCCCCCAAAAAAAAAAAAAAAAAAAAAAAAAAAAAAAAAAAAAAAAAAAAAAAAAAAAAATGAGAGCCTAGGAGGGAAAAGCGAGTGGGCTGGTCGCACAACCGCCGGTCTAGCACGGACCCGCTGACGTCAAGCGACCAGGCTAATTGGCCCTGACCAAATTAACCGCCGCCAGGAATACGCAACGAGGTAAGAAACGGTGTTTCTACACTTGAACAGACACGAGGGAAACAAAGTGAGGGAATAAATCCTAGGAGGAGGGTCCATGGAATTGAACACAATTGTCAATTGGACTCCGAGCAAGAGAAATCGAAGCGGGTGGGCGTTGCTGACTCGCTGGCTCTCAACCTTGGTTGAGGGTCGGGGACGGATTCTGATAATCTGATCAGATAAAAAATTTCGCACGTTATCTGATGGCGCCATCCCCCAACCGCATCAGCGCCCATGGCCGAGCCAGGCGCGCTGTTTTTCCGCTGCGGTTCCCGCTCTCCACGCCCATTCGCTGCCAGGGGACCACTTGGGTGGATGAAGAGACCCACTCACTGATTGATTACGATGAGGCACCATGCAGATTGATCCGTGTGGTCTCGTTTTTTTCATATCCACCCACACGCACGCACACACTAACTTACCCTCTCGCTTCGGTATACGGGTTACTCAATTAGTTTGCTTTCTGGCCCCCTTTCCCCGACTATAGCTGCCACCAGCCCTTCTTATGTCTCGGTTCCCGAGGGATTTTCTCGGAGTTAAACCTATACCGGTAGCATTAAAAACGGACCTCTCCGAAACACATCCAACGAGAAACTCCCAGTCGATTTTGATCGATCAGGTAACAGCTTGATCAGTGATTGATAAATTCTTAGCGGCCCCGCTTTTTCCCTTTCCTTCGTTCCCACAATACCAAGGCCCTAGGGACTTGAAGGTGAGGGAAATAACGAAGACAACAAGGAAAATAATGAAAAATAAGAAGGAAAAAATCATCGTGCTGTTCGGCCCGGCTAGATAAGGAGGCAACTCCGGTGCAATGGTCAGACCATGAGGAACAATTGCTGCCGTAATATTAATCTAGTTAGTAAGTAGCTATACACAGTACGTACTTTTCTGTCTGTCTGGGGAGTAGCTAACACTTAACGGGCGGAGAAGAATTTGAAACAGTCAAGGCAAATACTTAGCCTCCTTTCCTACTCCAGGATTCGTCTTCAAACTCAACTACCTACCTACGTATTTATACACCACGCTACTTCCTTCTTTCTCAAGCTTTCTGAAAGACGATCTATCGATGAATCTCGTATTGTTGGATAATGCAACAATTGATTTGAACAACCTTTGCTGCTACTAGCGCAAAGACAATGCGACTAGACGAGGCGAGACGAGACTAATCCCTAAGCAGTACACGCGGAACCATGCGACATGGAAACCGGAACAGGCGCCTGGAACAGTCGACTCCCTAGACATGCGCCGATCTCCATTCAGGTCTGGGCCAGTGGCATGTCCACAGTTATTATTATTATTATTATGATGGTAATAATAACAGTCGCCATTATTATTCACCTTACTCCGCCAATCGTAAAAAATTGTCAAGATTGTTAGTCTCCTGTCCCTGACAACGCAGTTTTCGGCTGCAGCCTGCTCAGAAAATCGCAAGCAGGCAGCTGAAGTTACTTACTTATACTGGACAGGCAGGCAGACAGACATTGACCAGCTAACCAGCTAGTCAGCACCAAATGTTTAAAATAAGTACTCTCGCCGTTTCCGCGGACTCCGAGGCCTCTTTTCCCTTCTCATCCCACGCGTATATCACGAGAAGGAGAGAAAAACATCCGTATCAGGTCTAGTAGGTTTGTCATAGAATGTCCACCTGAATTAATCAGATAGGACTTCCGAGCTTGGATGCATTTCTAGCTAGATATGAACTTCGGATGTACTTACTACCATGTAGCATGCTTGTGCTGTGTGACCCGATCAGACGGTCCACGCTTGTGGAAAGACCGGCTATGCCAGGTACCGGCGACCGGTGTTCCATCTTCCAGGGTCCTGTTCTTCTTTCCCCCCCAATATAGTTACTACTAGTTGTGTCAGGAGGGCGAAGATCGAACGATCTGCAATCCTAGCCTGCACTGCATCCTGCAACCCAACAAAAAAAGAGCACACGAGTTTATCTGGGATATCATCCGTGGGATGTCGCGAGATCAGCAAGGTCAGAAACAATAAATAGCAAAAGGGAAGAAAAAAAAAAGTAAAAGACCCTGATCATCTGATGCATGAATCGACATTCAACATATTAAGAAGCAGAAAAACTTAATCGTTAATACTACAGACGCATGTTCACCATATAATACGTAACGAACAAAACAACCAACAAAATTCGAGTCAACAATCACTATAGCCTATATACCCCTGCATAAAAGCGAATAAGAAACAAACATCAAACCCATCCTCACCACCTTGCCCTAATCAATCAGCCCAACACCTACCGTTCCATGGATCCATGGATTCTTCAATCCATTATCAGATGGAAATAAAAAACATACAGCCCACTTGCCTTGGACGAAGCGGTGGCCTGACCGCTTCAATCAGATAATAATATATTGGATCCGTGATCCATGGATCATGTCATATATTAATTCGTAACTTGGTGCCGCCAAGTCCGTCTCTATACTACTAATGAATACCCAGCTTCTGGTCGTGACGAAGAGTGGTCCCGGGGACATTTGTACCATAAAGTACCCAATGAAATTGAAAGGTCCGGGATCGCAAGCGTGTGTGTGTGTGTGTGTGTGTGTGTGGAAGCTAGACAGACAGACCCACCGCACAGGCTTGCGGTGACTTACGAGGGAAGTTAGGTAGGTGGCTGTCTGCCTAGATGGAATCTTTTGAACTTGGGATATGTGTCAATGTAGATAGATACATACTTGATTGATCTACCGACAACAGAAAAAAGAAAAGGCAGAAGGAAGACATACACCCCACGACTCAAAAAACGGCTCTGGGAGTAACAAAAGTCTGAAAGTCAAAAAGGGCACCTACCGTCAAGTACGTCCAGCAAAAAAATACAATCAAATCAATCAATCAAACCGCTCCTGCCGAGATAAGATCTTAGCGTGACATTTTGACTTTGGGTCTAAGGTTTTAAAGCCACAACCAGACGAAAAATAGGTTTCAGACCAATCATTCCCATTCCCCTTACTCCAAAGTGAAAAAAGTTTCTCCAAGGTTTAGACACGGAAGAAAAAACGAAGAATACATACATAACATGCATACATGCATGCATACTCTGTAATTTTTATTATTGCGACATCGGCTTTTTCGGCTTCAGAAGCTTGGTTCAGTATGGGGCGCGGGTGTGGAGATTATCTTCGTATGTATGAACCTTGTATAGACGCTGTATGTACGTTACTTACTTACGGTTAATTATCCTCATCCTGTTCTCCACTGATTATTATTACCCTTTTGCAGTGGTATGTATCCTTCACTCACTCACTCACTCACACACACACACACACTCTCTCTCTCTCTCTCTCTCTCTCTCTCTCTCTCTCTCTCTCCCCTTTCCCCCGTCTCACACTTCACTCTTTGTAATTTTATCCACTCCTTGAGTTCTTAAGCTGAATCAATGCAATTGTACTCAGTGCATTGCGCTATTATGGGCTTCAAGTTCCTTGGCTTTCCTTACACCATTCCCTGTCATCTCGAAAAGCACCCTCTAGCTTCATAGCAAGGTGATGATTCCACCCACTTCTTTCTCTCCGGTTGGATAGATTAGCCTGCAATGTACGGTATTGAGTAATCTGCCAGGTTATATTTGGTCTAAAGTAAAAATATCTACTAATATATCATGATCTTTATATGCAGAAGATAATACATGAAGATAATGTGAGGGCATGAAGGGTCAAAGCCCCATTTATGACCATCTATTCCAGTCAAACATATCATCAGAAGGAAAGGCTCATCCGGTACTCATTAGATCGCATATAGAAGATCGAAACATCTCCTCGGAAGTTATTGGTCGTCTGAAGGGCATATTGAGAACCCTAAATGGTCAGTCAATCGAAGACACAAGAACGCATCTATGCATTCCGTTCCGGGTCCTCGTCTGCCAGGCTCCGATATCTTCCGCCGCTGTGCATACGTGACGGCATCTCGTACATCTGGTTGTAGTTGATTGCTTCACCACCGAGCATGCCAGATCCCGCCTCCCGCTGTCCAAAGTATGGAGCCGGATCGCACCAGAAGTCACGGCAGTTGGTGACTACACCTCGAGAGAAGGGATTCTTCGCCCGAGAAGCACGTGGACCATCTCGCAATCCATCCCTTGCTGTCGCAAAAAAGGCATCAATGCCGAGAAGGGAAGTCCACTGCTTCAAACAACCGCCCCTCCGGTGCCGGTGGCCATGGGCAAGAGCTGGATTCGGTCCCTGGCCAGCAGAGGAAAGGCCAGCAGCATCGAGTGAGGTAGTTCCTGCAGCCAAAGCCGAAGCAAAAGCACGAGAGCTTGGGTAGCTTCTGTCAATCGAATGGCCCCTCATGTTTTCGTATGTCGTCTGATTCCGCGAAATTTGGACAAGCTGAACAGCACAGAGCATAGTGACCCAGACCAGCTGAATGATGACCCACACATCAAGGACGAGGGTGAATGTATCACGAAGTACAAAATCACATAGCGCATCGTTAATGACATTACAGGTAGGATTGACGGGTGCTGGCAAGACATTGATGTCTGTTCTAGCCGTTAGTCTTTGATCCGGAGAAGAAGGGGAGTTGATACCTACAGGAGTATGTCAGCTGTACGAAAAGAATTATACCCGCTTCAAGACACGTGATGTATAATACAAAATGGCGCAGATTGTTGGCGCCTACGCAGTTATCAATCCACGGGCAGTGACTATTCAGGATGTCAATGTTTGAGCTTTTAACTCCAGTCTCAATTAGGGTCTTACTGGTCATGTTTTGCAACGCAGCGCCCGCAGCGCTTGCAATGCTTGCTCCGTAAAGGCTTTCGAATCATGCACGCAACGCAGAAGTTCTCTTCGTCGAATTTCCACTGCTCAAAAAGTTCCGCAATAACTGTTCGCTGCTGGTTTCTGCTGCCAAGTTTGGGGACAAACCCAGGATCTTCAATCATCGCGGTGAAATAGAAATATGTTGTCGCTGAGAAGAACAGAGCAAAACAGATATTCGATATGGGATTTGTGGTATATGTGGCTGGCAAAAGTGACTATTAGTAAACTCTTGGCTGGGGCTTCGCATAATCCCGTTGGAGATCGGATTCAAAACATGTATACGAAGAGCAGGGAAAGCCTCACCTGGCAGCACGTAGAAGATGTATCTCACACCAACCCAGAACAAAGAGCCTGCAAAAACGCCCGATAGGTAAGGCTGGGTTGCGGATCAGTGACGAACAGAGTGGGGAGATGCAAGGGGTAATCGCTGACGTACCGTCTTTTGCAGTATCCTATACTCTGAAATGCTTTGACTGGCCACTTTCTGGGCCAACCATTGAAGTCCATAAGCTGTTGCGATCATAATGGGGATAGCAGCGAACACAACCAAGTTACTGAGAACCCAGACGGCTACGAAAATCATCAAGAAAGGCCACAAGAAGAAAAACTTAGACATGGTGCTCTTGTTCCGCACCCAAGGCGTCAATCCGAAGGGAAGAACCTTCGTGTTCCCATCGAAGTCATAGCCACACTCGTCCAGAGCACGATACCACACACGCGTGGTATTCATTTCGCCCGCTACCGTCGCTGGGGTCTTACCATCCCTGGTCTTCGCGAACCTATCAGCGCCATATTCAATGAGCTTCTGAACGCAAGGCAACGATCCCTTGACCAGAGCCCAGTGTAAGGGAGTTAAGCCGCTATCGTCAACGGCATTGGCATTAGCGCCCCAGCGCAGGAATAGGTCCACGCAGGCGGGGAATCCCTTATATGCCGCCCACATCAGCCCTGTATGACCTTGTTGATCGGGAACGTCCACCGGGATCTCCTGGTGAAGTAAAAGCACAAGCAGAAAGGCATTTCCGTCGATAGTAGCTAGGTGTAGGATGTTGTAGCCTTGGACGTCGGTAAGAAGAGGGTCCGCGCCGTGCTGAAGCAAAAGATGCACAATATAATAGTGGCAACGTTGAGCTGCCCACATCGCGGGTGTAGCGACAGATTCGCCTCCCTTCGCATTGACGTCGGCGCCAGAGTCGAGTAGGAACTTGCACATGGCATATTGGTTGTTGATGGCGGCCCACTAGAAGAGGAAAATAGCGTTGTTAGTTCGGAAGCAATACAAAAGACAAGTGCGAAAGACATATTGGTAACACGCACATGTAACGGGGTGATTCCTTCTTCGTCCTTATAGTTGGGGTGAGACTTCTTCTCATCAAACATTTTCTGCATAACTGCGATCTCTCCTATACGGGCAATCTGCATGACATCCTCCCCAATGGGGATTGAGCCCTTGACACCAGCGCGTTCCGGTTTCATGTCTTTAAGTTCAACGGTCGCATCATGCTGGGTCACTTTCGGGGGAGTGGTGGTGCCTTTGCCGCTGGGGAGGGAGTGCGGACTTTGTCCCAAACCAGCAGAGCTGCTGCTGCTCGGAGTCCCGGAAGACATGTCGAAAAGATAACCGGGATTATATCAAAAATTGAGTCCAGCACGCGCGCGACTGTTCCTGGACTAGACAGAGAGGAAGGGGAGACAGAGAATTGCCGCCGCAAAGAAGGACGTAGTCGTTGAAGCGGTCGGCGGTCACGAGTCAGTTGAGTAGT